GCCCGTTGCGAAGCCCTTTCCGTGCGGGTACTGAGGTACAGCATGGCTCTCTTTTCCGAGGATGGCCGGATGTGTTCTCCCTGTGGTGCGGGCCCTGCGGCCGCTGAGGCAGCCCCGGCGGCTTCACTCATGGGGTTCACAGCGTGATCTGTCGGAGGATTTCGGGACGGCTGAGGCTTTTTCCGGACCTTCATCCGCTGGCTCCGACGCTTCCTTTCCTCGTTCGGGAGCCCGTTCTCAGCTTCTCCCGCTCGCGGTTTGTATCCGGAGACGCTGCAGCAATCCGACTCCGAGGAGGCAAACATGCTCAGTGTAGTGGACGATGACTTCCAGGTGTCGGGGCGGCGTCATCAGGCGGCGCCCGACTATGACGTGCTGCTGGAGGTGGTGACTAGAGCCGTTGCTAAGCTCAACATCAACTGGCCACAGGAGGAGCAGACACCACAGGCTAGTGGTAAGCTTGATGAAAGGTTTCTTAAGTACCACGCGCCACCTCCACGCCGGTCTCTGCCATTCTTTCCTGATTTACATGATGAACTGAGTAATCATGGGGCAGACCCTTCTCTACACAGCTTTCCACACCCCTATCACTGAACTACAGTAATGTGATGGGGGTTAGGGACCGTGGTTATGGGAGGTTGCCTCGGATGGAGGATGCCCCTGGAGAAGCCGGCGTTACCCTCCAAGCCATGTCGCACCACATCTACGCTCATGGGGAAGGTGTACATGGCAGCGGGCCAGGCAGGTGCGAGCTTGCACACCATGGCGGTGCTTCAAGCCTACCAAGCCGACCTGCTACAGGAGATGGTTCAGAGGGGGGGTCCCTCTGAGGAAGATCTGGCGGAGCTTCGCAGAACCACGGAGCGTTAGACGCAGGGCGAAGCGTTCCGCCAGTACCTCCCTCGCCGGTCTGGACCCAAGGCAGCTGAGGCTGCCAGGCGTAGGTTCCTTCCCTCTACGAGCTCCTACGGAGAAGAGATGAAGCAGCGAGACGCCGCTCTCACCCTCAGCCTTCTGAGAGACGCGATCTGAGGACCGCCATCCCCTCCCGCACCCCCACCCCCACCCCCCCTAGAGGCCGATCGAGGTCCCCTCCGCCGTGGCAACGGGTGATGTTATCCCGCCGTTTACATGTTCAGGACGCACCTGCCACCATCGAGTCCACGCCGTACTGCCTGCCCCAAGGGTCTGCAGTCAGGCGGCATTCAGACTTACTCACCGTGGATCTTCGGCGGCTCTCCCCTGCCGTTCTGGGGCTTCAGGGGTCCACCAGAAGATCACACGAGACACCGACCACCAGCCCCGAGGGGCTGGTTCCGTTGGCAGACTTTGCAGAGGCTTGGCGGAGCCTGACGAACATTTCTCCGTGGGTCCTGTGCACTGCCATAGATGGATTTCGACTACAGTTCAAAACCCGCCCTCCAAAATTCAACGGGGTGGTTTGGACTGTGGTCCGCCCGGAGCAAGGTCCGGTGTTGGGACAGGAAGTTCTTACTCTGCTGAGGACAGGGGCCGTTGAACGTGTCTCCCCCCCAGACAGAGACGCCGGTTCTACAGCCGGTACTTCATAGTCCCCAAGAAGGACGGAGGGCTGCGCCCTATTTTGTATCTGCGGGTTCTAACCGGTCTCTGAGGAGATTCGGGTTCAAGATGCTCATCATCCCCGCCATTGTGACGCACATCCAATCCGAGGATTGGTTCGTCACGATAGATCTAAAGGACGCCTATTTCCACGTCTCCATCCGTCCTTCTCACAGGAAGTTCCTGAGGTTCGCCTTCGGGGGTGTGGCTTACCAGTATCGGGTTCTTCCATTCGGCCTGGCACTTTCCCCTCGCACATTCACCAAGTGTATGGATGCAGCACTGGCCCCGCTGAGGCTCCAGGACATCCGGATTTCAACTACATTGACGACTGGCTCATCCTAGCCCAGTCTCGAGAGTTGGCGGTTTGGCATCGAGATGTCGTTCTGGCTCATCTGTGGCGTTTAGGGCTGAGGCTCAACGCAAAGAAGAGTGTGCTGGCGCCCACCCAACGGACTATGTTCCTAGGGGTAGTATGGGATTCGACAACGATGCAGGCACAATTGTCTCCGGGACGTGTCGACACCATATTGGCTGCCGTGAAAGGGGTGAAGTTAGGCCACGCCATCACTATAAAACACTTTCAACGAGTGTTGGGTCTCCTGGCGGCTGCGTCCAGCGTAATACCATCTGGACTGCTACACATGAGACCCCTGCAGTGGTGGCTAAGGACCAAGGGTTTTTCCCCGAGGGGAAATCCTCTCCGTCTGATTTGGGTTACGCGCAAGTGTCTTCGTTCCCTATCAGTTTGGAAGGAAACTTGGTTCCTGTCCCAGGGGCACGTGCTGGGAGGGTCTTGTCGCCGGCTGGTCATTTCGACAGACGCCTCCCTCACGGGCTGGGGCGCGGTCATGGACGGCCGCTTTGCAAGGGGATCCTGGCAGGTGCATCAATCCGAGTGGCATATCAACTGTCTCGAGATGTTGGCGGTGTTCCAGGCTCTAAGGAGTTTCCTGCCCGATCTCCAAGGCCACCACGTCCTGGTTCGTTCCGACAACACAGCGGTGGTGGCCTATCTGAATCACCAGGGCGGTCAGCGCTCGCGCCCTCTGTACAGACTGGCGCGTCAGATCCTCCTGTGGTCCCAGCAGAGGTTACTATCGCTCAGGGCGATGTATCTCCCGGGGACGCAGACCTGCTGTCGAGGCAGGGGCTGAGGGTGTGGTTCTCGGACATCATGATCGCTCCTGGACGGCACCGCCGTGGCAGGTCCCTCTGAGGAGAGACCTGCTGTCCCAGGCGCGAGAGCCCGAGACACTGCGTCGGCCCGCCGCACCTCTCTCCCCGCCTGAAGCGCCTGCTTCATAGTTAATGATGAGTGTGTACAGGTGTGCTTTATACTCCTCCGGTTATTCCGTCACACCTTACCGTTCTAGCAACAAGCCAATAGGATTGGAGTGATTTCATTCACGTTCAGACCTGCTACGCCTAGAGGCGTTCCCGTAGTGTCGTAACCGACGCAGTGTCTCGTTCCCCTTCTCGAGGAACCAGGGTTACATACGTAACCCGAGACGTTTTAAACTATTCTTATGTGCATCGAATGCTCATGGACACAAGAGCAATACTGCTGAGACATGTTGTGTTGGGGTTTTATATTCAGGCAAAAATTTTGATTCACCTCCGCTGCTAGAACTCCATCCTAGGGGAAACAGTGCCTACTGTTTGTGTGGAACAGCAAAGTTACCGTAATTCACCTGTCAAGCAGAAACATCTTTGTTGGTTTTCATTCCTTGCAGATCTCTGAGGTTTCTCCAGCATTTGAACACCTCACTGATGTTAACAAGCGTCTTCACCTTGCCTGGTCATGTAACTTGTTTCACAAGTACTCTTTTCATTTTCCTCTTCAGCTGTTTTTCAGCCATCTCTTCATCTAGACAATGCCAGTCCAGCCATGGTAAGGTACTTTATAGTCACATACACATACATGTAGTGAAATTGATTCTCTGCATTTAACCCATCCCTCAAGGGAGCAGTGGGCAGCCACTGTGCCACTGGGGACAAACGTCTCGGGTTACGTATGTAACCCTTGTTCCCCGAGAAGGGGAACGAGACACTGCGTCGGTGACGACACTATGGGAACACCTCTAGGCGTGGCAGGGCTAAATTATGAATGAAACTACTCCAATCCTATGATATCCCTGATATCTGCCTGTAAAAAAAACCCTAAAGCTCTGTTTGAGACCATTAACAACATTGTTTCTACTGCTGTATGTATTGTCCCTGTGTTTTCAAATGTTGACTGCAACCACTTTTTGTCTCACTTTGTGGACAAGGTTAGAGCTGTCAGGGCAGGCATTGTTACATCAGCATACCCCCATATAGTTAAACATCACATACTTTCAGTACTGGATTCCTTCTGCCCCATTACCCTGAATGACATCATTAAGTTAGTAGGCATGATGAAACCTTCACAAAGCCCAAAGAGGTGATCGTGCTTTCTCTGTGGTGGCTCCAAGGCTCTGGAACGCTCTCCCTTTAGCCTTGAGAGCCTTGGATTCTGTGGAAACTTTTAGAAAACACCTTAAGACACATCTTTTTAGACAAGCTTTTAACCAGCCATATGGTTTTGTATTTTAAGTGTTGTTGTTATTTGTTTTATTTTATTCTATTTTTTTACTGTGAAGCACTTTGTGACCCCTCTTGTCTGTGAAGGGTGCTATATAAATAAAGTTTACTTACTTACTTACTTGAACTCTGGTTTATAGACTGACTATATGACACAGGCATATTTACTTCTGATATCTATTCCGTAGAAATGCCAGGAACCATTCAGTGCGACATGCCCTTCCCCTTGACCAAGTCATACAGATCACAGGGTAAGTGACTTATAGAGACTGCCATAAATCCATAAAGCTGATGTCAATTCGTTTTGTTTTGGAACTGAGCTTTGTGAAGAAAATTAGTTTTTCCAGCAGCTTAGATTCATGCAAGTCCAATGTGCCGTCTTTAGATAGCCCAGATCTTAACAAATATTTTCCTTTAAAGTTGTACTAACCTCATTGGCTATACATGAAACTCATGTATGATCCAACGGTAAATTTCACTTAATACACAAAAGTGATGTATTGGGATCAGTTTTGTTGTTTGTGTTGTCAATGCAGTATCCAATATTTTATATCTTTGACTATATTCCCAAAAAAGATAGCATAGGAGACGTAGATTCCTCCCAAACATCTTTATCAGAACCATTATAAAAGTTCTCTTCTCAGTGCCACATGCCATTTAATATTTTGTCCATTACAGCTCTGTTAGCTTTTCTAAAAGCGAACAAATGTGGAATTAACCTTTCATTTAATGTGAAATTAAATTTAGATATCTCACTAGTTCAATTGAAGAACAATATCTTGTGTTAACTTAGTAAAGTTTACTTAGTAAATAATGAAGAAACACATCATAAAGTTAACACAGGACGATGTAAAGTGGCTCAAATTATTTAGTGGAAATTCAAAAGTATTTTGAACTTGTGTAAAACAACATTATTATTAGACATGACCTTCCCAGTTGGTAAGGACAAACTGTGAGATGGACAAACTGTGAGGTGCACAAACAAAAATAACATCCATTTCAAATCTGTGTTGTTTCCACAGACTTCACTTCCTTCAGTTATCTGGCTGACCTGCATACCAAAAGACAAATTCAACTTCAGACCTATCAGACCACATCGACATAGCAGCGGCCGTTGAAGCTGTTGGGTGTATTTTTTTATTTTGATACTAGTATTTAATACATTTTGAGATGTGCATGAATGTGAATGTGATTAGATAAACATCCTACTGGATAAGAAGTGTCCTTGTGATTAAGACGAAACATTAAATCTATGTTGTTCCCAAATTACACGCACACAAAATGAAGGTTAGTGAAATGACTTCTTTACACACACACACACACACACGAAAAGTATACATTGGTATCCTATTGTGGAGGCTTACAGACCACAGGTGAAAGTGAGAGTGAATCAGACATATAACTATCCCAGTTACTAAGGACAGGTTATGCGAGATGCACAAACAGAGGGATAAGTTACAGAACATGACAGATCATTCCATTTGAGGTTTGGACCATAGTTGTTGTGAACACAGTGTTCATTTTTTCCATAGTTGTCTGGCTGTCCGGCATTCCAAAAGACAAAGTTCACTGCGCAACCATTAGACCACATCCATCTGCCTTCTTTATGGATATCACTGAGTCCGATCCAGCTTCTTCCCTCAGCGTGGTCAAAGTTCTTGATCAGAGTTTTGATGAAATTCTGTTCCGGCTGACTGTGGATGGACACCAGGTTGGCTCTCTGTGACACACAGTAGAGCTCTGCATCAGCCCAGGTCAAACGTGTGGCGACATATTTGTAACAGCGGCCGTTGAAGCTGTACCAGAACATGGGACAGTTGCCACGCCGTAGCATCACTTGTTGGTCTTCTGAAGGAGATTCAGCACCCAGAGCCAGACCAAACAAGAAGAGGAACAACAGCATGTTGGTGTCAGAGTCTCAAAAGTCGTTAGAGTATGTCAACTACACATCTAGGTCACTTTCTTTTATATGCTTCAGAAAGGGTGTCTACACTGTTGGTGCAATATCATTGGTCAAATACACTTGGCAAACACATTCACTTGTTCACAACTACACGACATCTGAACATAAGCCAAAAAGACCACAAGCTCACCTGTAGATATCACATAAAACCTATAATTTATTAATTAGCGAAACACATCTTCAGAAAAGACTTGGATTCAGCTGTCAGAAGAAGATTTTTTCTTTGTGGTTGACTACATTTACAGCTGATGAATAATAAAATAATGATTTAATGGTAATAATGGTTTTCCCTTTCAAATTTGTGCCATAGTTTTTGTGATTTAGTGATTCCCTTCTAGGGGTACTGTACTGGTACCCCAGGGGATACTTCTTTGCCAGGGGATACATGAAAAGTACATGCAAAGTAGCCCAACTAATTTGAACTAATTGATTCAGCTGAAAACCATTGTACCTGTTGCAATTATGTAAGAATGTGTGAAAACCAGTTAGCAAGCACATAAGTCTAAACTGGTAGCTAAAGGTTACGGATAAATTGTTGAAATAAATTGCTAACAATTAATCGATGAACTAATCGATTAGATATCAAATATTACAGTAAATTAATTCCCAACTTTTTTGATAATCAGTTAAGGACATTAAGTAAAAAGTCCAAATTCTCTGATTAAATGTTTCTTTACTCTACTACTAATGACAGTAAACTCCAAATATCTTTGTGCTGTGGACATAACAAAACATTGGAGGACATATTTTACCATTTTCTGAAATTTTACAGAGTTTATCGAGAAAATAATCATCAATGAAAGTAATCATTAGTTGCAGCCCCACAAATGATTAGCCAAAAATAATGGTAATATGGTTGGAACATCAGCATCGTATGGTTGTGTTGTTGACCTAACTAACTTTAACATCGACACTTAAGTTTTAGGAAACAAATATTGTAACAATATCCATTTTTATATAATCAATAGCGTTATGCATTTGGTACATGATAGGTATGATTGATGAGGGGGTACAAGACTTGGATAGATCACTCAGAGGAATACATAAATTTTTATTACATTTATTCTACCCATCAAAAATGGGCAAATACATGCATCTAACAAGATTGTGCTTGACACATTTACAGTTTTTCTAAATTGCTTAAACACTATAAGCAGGCTAATGAACTAAAATTTAAAAACCATAACAAATTTTTCAAAAAGCACACCTATTTCTCTAAACTCTAAACACAAATCCCTTCATTTCTCATTGCCTTCACCATGCGGTCATTGAGAAAACACTTACATTCAATATTGTTCACTCAGTCAGCACAGGTGAGCTCAATTAGTACACAACTACCCAGGTGGAAACACAAAGAGTCATAATTGATAACACACCAATCAGAACTTTCAATAGATAGATAAAAGGGCCAGACTCAGCTCATTCAGTTTTGGTACAATGGATCCAGAGAAATCTGAAAGAAGACATAGAGGACACCAGAGAGGAGAAGGAGGACGATGAGGAGGAGGAGGAATAGCAGTATGGAGAGGAGGAAGAGCTAAGGAAGAGGAACAGTAGGAGTTGGAGAAGGAGATGGGATAGGAGGAAGATGATGAGGCAGAGCAGGAGTAGGAGCAGGGAGGAGGAGTAGGGAGATGGAAGAAGTAGAGAAGGAGGTGGAGGACGAGAATCTCTCTCTGGCCTGTCCAAAAGACAAGATGCTGGGGCAGAATAAGTAGTTGTTTGGTGTGTTGCACTATACAGTACACTAAGGAATAAAAAATCTCTTATTATTTTGAGTTCATCAAGTGAAAAGGTTTTGAGGGGGAAAACCATATGCAACATCACTAATAACCAGTTTTTGTAGTATTGTTTTGAATTTAAAAACTGTGTTGTAGTGTGTGTAATTTTGAGGGCTTAGTGTTATGTCTGAAGTTTTTTTTTTTTATTATTGAATGGTTTTGAGTGGAAAGCTTCATTTTGACCTGAAAATAAGATGTTTGGGGAATTGGGTGAGAAGTTGTGGATTTGTGTTTAGAGTTTCGAGAAAAAGAGGCATAACTTCAAGAAATGTGTTTAAGCAATCGAGAAAAACTGTAAGTGTTTTGACACATCCAAAGACACAAAATAAGTAGGGCCACTCTATTTGATAATAAGTTTCATCATTAGGTGATGACACTTGATAGGTGTTAAATGTTAAATGCAACCAGGGGAGATGTGCATGAGAAGCGCTAGTCTAAAGATTAACCAGGACATTCAAATGAAAACAAGGAAATAAAAGACAAGCAATAAATGTTCACTGCTCATCAACTTAGTCTCTGGCACTAAAACTAAATGACTATATGGTACAGGCATATGTACCTCTGCTATCTATTGCATGGAAATTCCAGGATACTGCCAGTCCGACAGCTGTTCTTTCCTTGGGCCAAGTCACTAAATCCATAAAGCTGATGTCAGTTCATTTTATTTTGGCACTAAGCCTTTCATTGGAAAAACACTAAATAATTCTTGATACCACCGTGTTGCAGGAGTAGGTTTTTCATGGACCCAATTAAATCTGTTATGAAGGTGTTCTTCTTAATGTTTCGCATGTCTTTCGATGTGTCCATTATAGCTTGGTTGGCTTTTCTAAAGTGATGGAATAAACCTTTAATTCAATGTGAAACGATATATAGATATCGATATCGCATCAGCTATAGGTCCAAGAAGAACCATAGCCTGTGTTTAACTTAGTAAAGTTCACTTGGCAAAGTTAACACAGGGCAATGTAAAGTGATGGACTTGAAGATATGAACTAACCAATCTTTAAGTGGAAATCCAAAAGTATTTTGAACTTGTGTAAAAGGAATAATGTTATTATAATAAAACAATCCTTTTTATTCACAAGTAGAGTAATACATGACAAAACACCCTTTCTACTGATATTATTGTTAACAGTTAAATCAATTTTCTTCTGAATCTATGTATCATACACGCACACACAAAAAAAGCAACTCAACTAAAATATGTAAATCTAAATTAACCCACAGGGTGTAGAAATCTGTGGATGAAAAGTCTTCATGTGTCTTCATGTGACCCACATGAAATGTCTTCATGTGACCCACATGGGGAGGACATCACCGTCCAGACTTCAGACACAACACGGACAGCTGTGTTCTGGAGAAGTTCTCTGATGACTCTGCCATTGTCGGCCTCATCATTGATGATGACAATGCAAAGTACAGAGGACTGACACAGAACTTTGTGTACTGGTGTCAGCGAAATCACCTCCTGATCAACGCGGGAAAGACCAAGGAGACGGTGGTCGATTTTCGCAGACGGCGGTCTGCCCTCCCGCCTCCGATGAACATCCAGGGAATGGTCCTTGAGAGAGTGGCCACTTATAAGTACCTGGGTGTTCACCTGAACAACAAACTGGCCTGGACTCACAACACAGATGCTGTGTACAAGAGGGGTCAGAGCAGGCTGTACTTCCTGAGGAGACTGAGGTCCTTTGGAGTGACAGGGCCCCTCCTAAAGACTTTTTATGACTGTGTGGTCGCGTCAGCCATCCTCTACGCTGTGGTCTGCTGGAGCAGCAGCATCACTGAGAGGGACAGAAAAAAGTTGGACAAGGTGATAAAGAAATCTAGTTGTGTCCTGGGCTGTCCTCTGGACTCAGTGAGGGAGGTGGGAGACAGAAGGGTCCTGGCTAAACTGACAGCTATGCTGGACCCCTTCTACAACACTTTTATACTACCAGTATTTACTTATGCTGCAGGAGACTGTACTGTATAAGGCGTAGTCCTTTAGTCTTATGTAATGTACAGTAACTTTGTTTTTTTATTTATTTACTGTAAGAATGGTACTTTCTTGTCTGACACTTGTTTATGCTGCTTTGTACACTTATCTATCTCTGCTCTTGTCTTTGCTGTTGCAAACTGCAATTTCCCCACTGTGGGACAAATAGAGGTTTTCTTATCTTATCTTATCTTATTTTTTCTGTATATGGCTTTAATTCTATTTCTCTTTACAGTAAATGTTTATTTTGCATGAAGGAAGATTGTCAACATCATGGATATTATTAATATTAATTTGATCAACAAATGGAGTTACTGTTGTGAATGTTCACAAAAACAAAGTCTGTACACACACAAAAGTATACATTTGTGTCTTTACTGTAGCATGTAAACAGAGCAACAGGTGACAGTGACCAGTGTGAATCAAGCATATGTAACTATTCCAGTTACTTAGGACAGATTATGTGAGATGCACAAACAGAGGGATAAGTTTGGGAACATGGGGCATCACTCCTTTGAAGATTTTTACCAATTTTCTTGTTTGGGACAATGTACGTTTCCACCATGCTGTTCTGGTTCGGAACTGGTTCACGAATGATCCAAGACTCACAAATGTGTTCCTTCCACACTACTCCCCTTTCCTCAATCCGATATAGGAGATCTTTCCAGCTTGGCAGTGGAAGGTGTATGACAGATCAACCTTCTCAAAGCCATGAGGAAGCTTGTGGGGAGATTGCTGTGGAGTCCTGTTAGGGATGGGATAGGTATTCCAGAGCATTTCCCCCCACGCTGTTTGGCTAGTGAAAACATAGCCTGTGATGTTGATGAAAATCTATGGCCTGATTCTGGTCGGAGACAAAATGCTGACCCAAAATTATCTGTAATTGCTATTACAGTACTGTAGCGTACTCTAACACTCTTTATCTATGTGAAAATGCTCTCTGATTCTTTGTTTGTTTTCATAGCCTTCTTTGTTTTCTGCAAATTTTATTTTGGCAAAATTGTTTGGTGACTGAATTCATTTCAGATCAATTAAATCTTTACTGTCCCAGGAGGGGACACACAAACAGTGTTCTGCTGCAGCTGACCGGTCGGCCAGCACGGTTGTGGATCATTATAAAACATTAGAAACTGAACAATGCCAGTATTTAGGGACATTAAACCCGTTTCATGTGTGACAAGTGCAACAGAGAAAGGGGTGAAAGAATGTCTATCTCCCTTGTTCTCCATTCTTCCTTTTACTTTACTTTTACTTTAGCTTGTTGGTTGACAGCTGACTTGAATACATAAGGTCCAGTGCAGCTGACCTGCCGCCCAGTTGTGCATAACTCAGTACCGCAGCGTTACTCGGATTCGTAATAATGTTTTGGAAATAGTAATCCTTTACACTACTAGTTACTGGGAAAATGAGTAAATGTAAAATGAGAAAAGTAATATT